CAGCTACTCCGATAAACCCGACTCACAAATAGTTAACACCGACCGCCTGTGATCCTTACGGCTCACAGTGTTTGCAGTCTGACCACTGATTACAGAAGGGGCGATGTCCAACCTACAGAAACAGGTCCCCGATGTGACAAGTCGGGGGTGTCAGGGGTCGGCAAGGGCCTCTCCGACCATGACCATCGAGGGGCCTTGCGTGGCTCCTCCTGTGCCAGGCGCTGCACCCAGTGCCCGCCGTCAGTCACCCACGGCTTTCAGCAACCCCGTGGGACGGGCAGCGGTACCTCCCTTTTTGTGACGATGACGATACCGGCACAGAGTGGCCGCCTCAGCCTGTTCAAGCCGCAGGAACAAATGGCTGCAGGGGACACAGTTAGCATCAGCGCAGTGGCTGGGTGGAGAGAGAGAGCAGTTAGGGGGTCGTTTTATAAACCATATGAACGTCTAACTGACGTTGCTGCATCTGTGTTTCTAACCACTAGTTGGCCTGGTGGTTTTTCTCGAGGCCTCCCTGCCACCCAGCTCACACTGCACTGGCAGTTAACTGCACGTTGCCTGTCCAGTCCACAGCACCCGCTCTGGTTTCCAGGGGCAGGAGTGCTCCCCTGTCTCGGCTTTGGATCCCCACCCCGCCCCCCTTCCGGCGACATAGCAACCCCTCTGAGCAAGGCCGCTGAAGTCAGCAGCAAAGGAAAAGGCAGAGAAGGGGAAGGGAGAGGGCAGAGGTCAGGGCACACTCAGAAAATTCTGCTCTCTGGCTGACTCCCAGCAGCTTTATCCTGGCCACTCCCCCGACCCTGGAGCCTTCTGGGCCTTGCAGGACAGTGGAAAGGGGCTGGAGACAGAGCAAACTTGGCAGATGCTTACGGAGAGCAGACGGCGGCTCCAAGCTGTAACCCAGGAAGGAAATTCTCCAGCCCTGCATTTTTCCTCTGAATTTCTCTCTTAACTGTTCTCTGGCCCCCGCCGTCAATATCAATTCAAGGGTCTGCTCCTTGCTCTGCCCCAGAAAAGGGCCAGTCCTGCACTTGGGCGATGGGGCAAAGTGAACGAAGCTTGGCGGCAGGGGGCAGGCGGAGTCATCACTACAGGTGTGACTTACACCTCCCCCTGTGTCTCTCTGCAAGTGGGGAATCAGAACACCTATCCCATGAGATCCCTGTGAAAGAAAATCAGAAAACTGTGCGCGTCGACTGCGCCGTAGAAAGCACAAAAGCAGCGTAGGGCAGTCGTCCAAACTGCGTGTAGCGCGGTGCCATTTCGCAGACTGATTCGAGGCAGCGCCACTTCCTGTGGACTTGCGAGCAGCCGAGGGCCCCGATTGTATCCGCTGACTCTGGGTGGACAGCCGGAAGTTTCGTCCCTCGGTGGCTGACTCATTTCAGCACTGATATCTGCTACTTTTTTAATTTAAAAAAAAATTTTTTTAAATACAGTCGACATTCAATATTACGTTCATTTCAGGTATACGGCACAGTGGTTAGACATTTCTATAACTTGCGAAGTGATCCCCACAATAATTCTGGTATCTACCTGGCACTATGCCTCGTTATTACAATATTATTGACTGTGTTCCCTATGCTGCATTTCACATCCCCGTGACGATTTTTACTGCCAGTTTGCACTTCTGAATCCCTTCGCTTTTTCGTGCAGCCCCCCGTCCCTGCCCCCCATCTGGCAACCATCAGTTTGTTCTCTGTATCTGTGAGCCTCTTTCTGTTTTGTTTGTTTGTTTTAGTTTCTACACAGAAGCAAAATCGTATGGTATTTGTCTTTCTCTGGCTTATTTCACTTAGCATAATACACTCCAGGCCCATCCATGTTGTCACAAATGGTAAGATGTCGCTTTTTCGTGGCCGAGTAATATTCCACTGTGTTTCTGTCCCAGTGATCTACTGACGAACGCCCAGGCCGCTCCCATATCTCAGCTACTGTAAACAACAGCTCAGTGCGCATAGGGATGCATGTATCTTTTCCAATTAGTGTTTTGGATTCCTTCAGGTAAATACCCAGAAGTGGGCTTGCTGGGTCATAAAGTCCTTCTATTTTTAATGTTTTGAGGAACCGCCATACTGTGTTTCTCTAGTGGCTGCATCAGTTTGCAACCCCACCAATGACATCTGCTTTCGATGGTGTCTACCGAGAACGTGGGCCCAGCCTAAGTCTCCCGTCACTGGCTCCACTGTCCCTCTGGTCACCCATGCCTTGGACTCTTCCCCTTCCTCTCAGCCCACCTCCAGGAAGGACCAGAACCTGTCGAGTGAGGTCAGAGAGTCATACTCTGCATCTCTCTCCCCTTCTCTGTTTCCACTGCTGGGACCCTGGTCTCAGCCCTTCTCATCCGAACCGCGGCGTGGACGTCCTGGGGAATCCCCCGGCCACCCTGCTTCCTCTCCACACCGGTCCCTCTACGTGCCGTGGCCAGGGGCGGCTTCCTGCACCTCCGCTCTGCTCCACTTACTCCAAATCCATTCGTGACCCCTCACTCTCTACGGAACTAGCTTCGAATTCTCTCCCCGCACATCCACTCTCCGCGAGCATCCTGCTCTCGGTGAACGTTACGACCTTCTCACGAGTCTCTTTCAGCATCTCGCGCTCCAGGCACACGCGAGTCCTAACTGCTCACATTCTTTTATTGGAATGAAATGGGGGTGGAAACAGGCATTTGCTCCTTCCCCGTGAACACTGCACGTTCTGACTCCTGTGTCCCCTTCTTCACCGTCCCCCCAATCTGCCTGTCCTCGGAGACCGGGGTAAAATGCCACCTTTGTCAGGAAACTCCCAGATCCGGAAAGCCTTCCAATGACCTAATGGTGTCCACGCAGAGCTCCAGAGCAAGATCAGGCTGACCTTGCTGGAAGGCGACATTCTCGATGAGGAGTGCGTGAGGAGAGCCTGCCAGGGCATGTCGGCCGTCATTCACACCGCCTGTATCATCGACGTCTATAATGACATTCCGCAAGAGACCGTCATGAGGGTCAACCTGAAAGGTACAGCACCCCGATGAAGAGAGGGGCCGGGGTGGGCAAGTGGGGCTGAGAAAACGGGGTAAGGGGCGAGGGAGAAGCCCCATGAGCTCTGAGTCAAGGCTGTTTGCCTGAGGTTTTTAGATGAGAAACTGAGGCCGAGAAAGGCCGAGGACCCGTGGTCAGAGAGGGAGAGTTAGAATTGAAACCCACACCTATGTGACTGCGAAGGCCACAATAAGATTTCTTCTGCTCTTTCTCTAGCCAAACGTGGACTAAACCCCAGCCTTAAACTGGCTTCCCAGCCACTTCCTGCTTCCCCTGGGCCCGAACCAGACCTGACAGGGGCCTCCTTAGTCATCATTGTGTGGCTCTAAGGTGCTGGTCACACAGCAGGGCCACGAATGAAGAGCTCTGTGACATGGCCCGTCAGTCACAGGTGACGGGCCATGGCTCTGGGCTGGCTCCCTTCGGGCAGGGCTTCCACACAGCACCTCCAAGGGGAATGAGAACTTCTAGAACCTTCCCACAGAAGGAATCTTCTCCAAAGAACTAGCAGAGCTGGTTCGTGGTGGTCTCGCACTACAGACTGATCCAGTGCTTGCCTTCCCATGGTATTATCTTAACAGTAACAGTTTCCCATTGTCCATAACAGCATTTCTTCAGCTCACTACCAGGCCCGCTCTTAAAGACTAGTTCCTAGCCAGGTGCCCAAACTACCCACTCCGTAGATCCTCAAACCTTAAATGCTTGGTGACTCTGAATCATGGCTTTCCGATCTAAAAATCTGGACGCATTCGTTAAAGGGTTAAGCGTAAATCCCTTATCGGTTTGCCATGTTACAGCACCCCTCTGATCCCTGGAGGCCAGTCCCTCTAGGACCACAGCACCCCAGCCCCCTAGCCTGTCTGTCTTCCATGCCCCGCCCTCCAAAGTTAGTCTACTCAGAGACTCCTTTGCTAAAAAAGCTTATTGCCTTGGGTCTCCAGCCAGTAATAGCACAATGTCAAAAAAGATCCCTTCTGGTAGTTTCTACTGAGTCACACACACTCCTAGCCGCCCCCACACTGCAAGGAGGCTGCTAAGAGTTGCCAGTTCTTAATTTTCAGTCCCTCTCTTAATCCTGTTCCCCACAGCTCCTAATGACAGCTCTGAAATCTCTGACAAGTGTTAGAAATCAGTATCACCCTCAGGTTTAGAAAGTACTTCACGACGTACTTAGTACTTAGCTCCAAATATTCTCCACCTCTAGATTTAAGGTTTTGTTGTTTGTTTTTTTTTAATGAGGCTGTCTCTCCCCAAAATCAAATTGCACAAAGACTTTAAAAGGGTTGTTTTTTTTTTTTAATGCAAAAAAAAAAAAAGAAAAAGGACGCTTTGCCCAGGAAATCCTTCTTTCTCATAGGGAAGTTGCCCTGGATAATAAAATACCTCAGTGAGTTGAGTTCTCTACCCAGCTAAAAGGATCATCCAAGGCCGCCCCCCCGCCGTTATAGGTATTACCGCCAGAGGGCGCTCCTCTTCCCGTTTCTCCGCCAGGCTCAGCAAACAGGGCTAAGTAGAAGCAGCTTTGTCATCCCCACTTTTCATACCTGGGAGTCACAGCCAGAATTACGAGCGGCCTGATTAGGGAACACACAATCCGGCACAGAATCTGGAGCTCCAGCTTCTCCTCACTACCCACTAATCATTCGCTCAGTGACTCTTGGAGAAGGAAAGAAAGGTTCTTGTGACTACGTTTTTATTGTATTGGTCAGAGAGAGAGAGAGAGAGAGAGAGAGAGAGAGAGAGAGAGAGAGAGAGAGAGAAACAATAGAAACAACATGTATTTAAGAGCGCACATCACCTGTATGCAACTCCGGGCGTGTGTGTGTTTGAGATGGGGGCCTTTCAGCCGTCTTCTGCATAAGGACCAGGGCTGTCGCATTCCGAGTACGGCCTCCTAATTTTCAAATTTAAAACAGCTTGTCTTTAAGGAGGTGGTAGGGTGACCTTCCCCAGCAGAATGTAAGGCGGCGACCCCCCGCTCTCTCCCATAAGCAGGCGTACGCGCGCGGGGCCACACGATCTAAAAGCCTAGGAAGTCTCACTCTCCAGAACCCGGATGTTGGTCTCTTTTTAATCTGTGCATCTTCCCGTGGCGCTAGTGTGGTCAGCTCTGAGCCAGAGGCAAAGAAGAATTCAGTCCTGGTCTGCAGGGCCCCCCTCCCTTGGGGCGGGGGAGGTGGGTGGGGGTTGGGGGGGGGACGCATGCATGGGCTGTCGGTGTGGCTGGCCCTTTGGGTTTTTCTCTGACACTGACAGCGTGTTCCCTGTGGGCAGGCACGGAGATGCTGCTGGACGCCTGCGCCCAGGCCAGCGTGCCCATCTTCATTTACACCAGCACCATAAAGGTGGCTGGGCCCAACTCCTACAGGAAGGCTATGCATAATGTTAGCGAAGAAGAACATTACGAAACAGTGTGGTCTGCTCCATACCCATTAAGCAAAAAGCTGGCCGAAAAGGCCACCCTGAAAGCTGACGGGTGGACTCTTCAGAATGGTGGCACCTTGCACACTTGTGCCTTAAGGCCCACGTATATCTATGGGGAAGGAAGCTTATACCTTTATCACTTTATCAGCCAGGCCCTGAAGAACAACGGCATCCTGCCATGTAACAGCAAGCTCTCCTTTGTCAACCCGGTCTACGTTGGCAATGTGGCCTGGGCCCACATCCTAGCCTTGAGGGGCCTGCGGGACCCCAAGAAGGCCCCAAACATCCGAGGGCAGTTCTACTATATCGCAGATGACACACCTCACCAAAGCTATGATAACCTCAATTACGCTTTGAGCAAAGAATTGGGCTTCTGCCTCGATTCCAGAGTGAGCCTTCCCTTGTTCCTGCAGTACTGGCATGCCTTCCTGCTGGAGCTGGTGAGCCTCCTGCTCCGCCCAGTTTGCAGATACCAACCCCCCTTCACCCGCCACTTGCTGACAACGTTAAATAGCGTATACACCTTTTCCTATAAGAAAGCTCAGCGAGACCTGGGGTACGAGCCCCTCTTCAGCTGGGAGAAAGCCAAGCAGAAAACCATGGAGTGGATCAGCTCCCTGGTGCGCCAGCACAAGGAGACCCTGAAAACGAAGACCCACTGAACCGGGGTGACGAGGATGTGGCTGTGGGTATTGTCGGGAGATGTCCGTCAAGCTCTCCCCTTCCAGCTTCATACAGAAAGCAACACGGGCAGGAGCCCAGGTCCCACCACATCCCTTCTACAAGATGGCCATCTTACTGTCTTCCTCCTCCCCGGGCACCAGCCCAACCGGAAGCTTCCTGCCCTACCCGCCCCCAGATGACAGACAAGATGATTTACTGCAGCTGCTGGACCCAAAGTCTCAGTTGCTGATTTGGAGCTAGTCGGGCCTCTTTAACGTAGATGTTGACCTGTTCCATTTCTTTTGTTAATTGTAAAGTAATTTCTTTTTAATTCCTATTCCTTCGTACAACTCAATGACGAGAATAAATGTTTTAATCTGGAGGAAGTTGTGGTCGTGTGAATACATACCTTTCTCCATTCTGGAACCTCCATCTCCAGGTATTGCCAATTTCCTATTAGAAAAGACATGGAACGGGGGTGGGCAGAAGGTTCTGGAAGTGAGAACTAAGATTGTCTAAGCATCTACTATGTTTCAGGCACGAAACATATGACTGACATATTTCACCTCATTTAATCCTCGCCAGACACCTGTGAGGTAGGAATTCCCGTTTCACCGTGAGGGACACTCGTTCACAGCCACACTAACCCGGTAAGTCATCAGGCCGCTGAAACCAGATAGACCGACGACGTGAAAGCTTTCACCTTTCCACTGAATGGTGCGCTTACACTGCCCACAACTTACAGCGTGATGGGGAGCGGGGGCGGTGGGCGGGTACACGCTATTTAACGTTGTCAGCAAGTGGCGGGGGAAGGGGGGTTGGTATCTGCAGAGATTCAGCAGAGCCCCTGGGGGAGCCCGGCTCCTTTGTGTTACTTACGTCTTGCCCAGGCCTGTGCAGGAGACGCCCTAGAACCCAGAAGAAGCCCCAAGGGCTACGGAGGTGTGCGTGCCCTTGCCAGGTGGCCCGGACAGGGGACGGAGAAGTGGGCGTGCATTCGGCCCCCCGCCATGCTCGTCTCCTCAGAGGCCTCTGGGACACACCTGGGTACATGAGCGTTGGCCACTCCAGCAGCTCATACACCCATGTGCCGTGCCAACATGTCAAGTCACACGATAAAGCCACATCATGAGTCCCTGGGAAGTCGAGGGACGGGTGTGAATTCCCTCGAAGACTGATGTTCCCCTCGGCCCTCAGAGTACTCCCCCACACCTCCAGACTTAACATCTTCACCTAATCGCTGACCCCCCCCTACCCCCCGCCAATCCTTCTCAGTTCCCCTCAGGAAAGGAGGCCAATCAAGACACATTTGGGGACTTAAATGCTGACAGTCATGAGCCGAATGAAGGCCTGAAACAGAAGAAGCGGCTATGGGGTCGGAGCGTGGGGGTGCGGGGGGAAGCGGGGAGCGCTGACTCCCTCCAGGCCAGAGTGTTTATGACCACAGACACGACAAGTCACACTTGCCATCAAGGTGGCCTCTTTCTCACCTGTGGACTTTACGAATTAAGATTCAATTGAATCATTGCCACAAAGGAGACGGTCTAAGCATTCACTCTTAAGGAGAAAGGGGAAGACACCGTGGCCCAGACGAGCAGGTCTCCATCACCTTCGAAAGCCCCGGGGACAGGGTCAGCACTGGGCATCGGGGTGCAGTGGCCTCAGGTGCTGGGGTCCGGTGAGGATGAAACACTCCCTCCCTGCTTCCCCCCACTGCACAAAACGCAAGCGTCTGTGCCGTGCGGCTCTTAGGCGTGCTTACCTTCGTACCTTTATGCCGGTAGTGAAGGGAGGAAAGGTGGGTCTGGGGTCTGGGGCAAAGGCCCCTCTGTGTTTAGCCTCGTGAAACCCGCGCACCTATAAACCCACCAGGGTCCGTCTCGCAGAGAGGGAAAGGGGCACTGTCGCCAAAGGATAAGGGGTGGGGGTGTAAGCGAGGAGGGGAGGGGATCTCAGCCGAACAAGCATAAAGGCCTCGGAAAGTTTCGGTGCGGCCGAAGCCGGCCATCCTTGCTTCGGCTGCGGGCAGCCCCGAGGGTGTGCGGGCGTCGGTGCCCGAGCCCAGGGTGCAGCGCGCGGGAAGCACCGCACGGGGGCAGCAGAGGCTCGGAGCGGGTGAGCAGCCGCCCTTCCCTTCCCCTGCCCCACCTGGTGCCTGCGCACAGTGCGCAGTGAGTTAACGAAAGCACAGGTGCGTGCTCGGCCACCGGCTTAAGTGCTGTGCATAATGAGTCTAGAGAACGGAGCTGAGCTGAAATTACTGGGAAAAGCCTCACAGAGCAGGTGGGACCTCAGCGAGGCCTTGAGGGGTGGATGAGACTTGGGTAGGAGAGCGAGGTGGTCCAGGCAGGAGGAGAGGGTGAATTGTGCCCCTGAGAAAGGAAGCAGGGTGAAGGGACGTGAGGAGGCTGGCCTGCCAGCTGAGGACGGTTTCTCAGGGAGATGAGGCGCTTCAGATGCCCCACTCAGCTATGGACTTGATGAGGCAGGTCTCGGAGGGCGGAGGCGGAGCCGGCAGGTTGGGTGGATGGCCTGGTGAGGACCAGCAGGAACGCAGCTGAGGCCTTAAAGCAGGAGGTGAGAGGTGGACAGGAAGGCCAGCCAGACCAGCTGTCCTAGAAACAGGGGGTTGGGGGTTAGGGGCTTGTCTCCCCTCCCCCCGCCCCCTCCC